TCCCAAACTCCTTCTAAAAAGTGTTGTGGAATGCTAAGCGAAGAACCATCACACAACAATTTCTATTAATGGGTGGAGAGATAATTAGAGAAGCACAGGACTTTTTTAGTTTTTAAATGTTAGTACGTATGATAGATTATTTTAAAAAGACACTTATAGACAGCACAAAAAACAAATAATAGATACATCCATGTTGTGGCAATTTTTTTTATTTCCAATGAGCCATTATAATGACACTCCATTCATTCATCATACAGTAAATAAACACAATAACAGGTAACATTGTAGAGGTGAGTATGAGGTAGTAGCTAATTCCATATTATCTGATGTTCAGTCTCCGCAATACTACTCCATATTCAGGCAGTTTGTATTCTAAACATCAGATCTATAATGTAGTAGAACAACATCACAAATTTGAATTACATATAATATATAAATACGAATGAAAGAAAGAAACTAAAGACACACACATTTAATTAGTCTACAAAACAGTTTTCAGCTGCTTATTCAACAGTAACCCTTCTCAACAGTAACCCTTCTTCTCCCTACACAGTGACCTCTGCTGGTCGCTTTAGATAACACTGCTTGAATAAGCCCCTGTACAAGTAATTATGCTGTTATTGTAAATGGACAGTATTTATAAGAGACTTTTGTGGTGTAAACAACGACTCAAAGTGCTTTACACTGAAACATCCAAACAGCATTTCTACATGCTTTTCTATGACACATAATTTACACACTGTAATGTATAAATATTGCGTAGTTATGTAGCGCTTTGTATGCATTTATTAATTATTTATTGAATTTGTCTTCTGATGTTACTCTGGTAAATCCTGTATTTTTATAGATTTGTTTCCACTCTCTTGGGTTTTATTTAAACTTTTTATGCTTAAATTATTTCTTATACTGCCTCACTGCCTGTCCCAAATGAGAAATAAAAAAGAAGAATTAGACAAACCAAAACTTGAGCATGCTTTTATTTGTTTTTGTTTTTGGGGGAACAAAAAAATGTTTTTTGTTTAACAGACCCTTTGTCTCCTATATGTATTTGATTTTGAATTTGAATCTGCTCGAGGACCTTTGTTGCATGCCATATCCCTCTCTACCAGACTTCTCAGACGTTTAATTTGTCTCTCTTAATTGTTTGCTGTCAAATAAAGACACAGTACCAGATACGATATTATTTGTAAATTTCAATTATGGGATCATTGTATTATTCTTACAGATGCATTACTGTAAATGGTAAATGGTTGTATTTATATAGTGGTTTTCTAATCATGATGACCACTCAAAGTGCTTTACACTACAGTTTGCCATTCACCCATTCACACATACAGTGCATCTATTACTAGCACTTTTTTTGTTGTTCTATGGGTCAATTTGGGGTTCAGCATCTTGCCCAAGGACACTTTGGCAGGCAGATGGGAAGACTGGGGATTGAATTTTGGACCTTCTGGTTGGAGGATGACTGCTCTATGCCACAGCCACAGCCACCCCTGCTGTGTTAGCAGTATTTCATTGTTATAATGATTGGGATGGAGCTTGTTGAATGGAGATGTGACATGACAATTCTGTACTGTGAAGAAGTACAGAATTGTACTTCATACAATCATTTGCTAAGTGCATTGTCAGAACGAGCTGTTATGGAAATACTCAAATGAAGTAAAAGGTCCTTAAATATACATAGGTACATTTCATAAGTTTCTTGATAGGTTGGATTTAATGAATTACTTGAAACTCCTGATAAGGATATCAAGCTCAACATGTGGATGAGTTTAGGCCTAATGTCAAACAACAAACAGGCGAATTGGACAACGTCCCGCCCTCACAGCTCAGTCCGTCGGGCGGAGCAGCCATTGGTTGTGTAACCTAATGATCCTGGTATGGCATCTGGCATTTGGCCTCAGTGACCACGGCAGAAGCTTCTGAAGGGAAAATCAAATCGATGCTACATTGACTCTGTCAGAGCGCGATGGAAACCTAATTAAAGACCCTCCAGGCACAGCTGGTCATTTTATGCAGCCAAGCACCAGGGCTGTAAAATTAAGCCAGTAATATGTACTATTGCTTTACTCTGAACGCCGAGGGAGGGGACATGTAGGCCTCCCTGAGCAGCATAGTGTCAGCATTCAATATGCTAAAAAGAACTCATGCCAATGTCATGTCACTGTTTTTAACATACAGCAGTACATTCTGGTCTAAATTGCCTTGCATATTCAGTACACCATAAACAACTGAACTGATGTGCTTATAAAAAGTATAAAATACAATGATAGGACAGTGTGGTGTGGAAGTGTTCACATTGACTGATGGCTAATGTAAACTATTTCTAGACCCCCTGCATTAACTATAAAGTAACATCTATAAATTGTAAGTGGTAACCACTGCTGGATAATGAACTTACATGTAAGTAATAAGCAAGTCACCAGATTGTGCCCACTTCGATGATTGTATAATGATAGCTTATTTGTTCATTGAAGCTGTTCTTAGTGGAGTTGATTAACTTGATTCAATGACTGGGCGGCTTCATGGAGTCTTGTTGCTGCCATGGTTAAAGACCAAAACTACAACCATAACCTAACTGGCAAACCTTGTTATACCACAAGACTGTTCAAGAAATAGATCCAACATATGACTTATCCTGAAACCACATAATGTGTTTTTTACGTTTGTTTTTGTGTAAAGATTAAAAAAACAAGACAGCTTGTCACCGGAACAAAGTATTAGTTGTATGTCTGAATTGAACCAGGCTCAGCCAGACTTACAATCCTTTATACTGAGCTTGGCTTATCATGACCTGGTTGGTACTTGATACTTATTACACAGATATAAAATTGATATGAATCTCAGTCTACAAATGTTGAACCTTAAGGGATTATAGAAACAGAAAAAGACATTACAGTCATTATGTGCTTCATTTTTCACAGTACAATCCAAATGTAATTCCCATACCCCATACATCACAATTCATTCTTTTTTTACTATTGAGTAAGTGTTCACATGTAGACTTTAACAAGGTGACATTGTCCCCGTACAGACCTTGTTGTACACAGCAGGGATGCCAGGCAGTCATGCATGGATATCCCCAACATACCAATTATATATGCTTTGTGCAAAAAGGCAGGTAGGAAATGATCCATTAAACCCCATTATCCACATTACAGTGATTCATTTAAATGTAAAGGCCTCTCTGCTGTTTCTAACGTACTCATGTTGAGAGCACCAGGAGCCGGTCCTTTGTGAAAAACCAGCCATAAATAAATATCAAATCACTCTGTCAGAGAGGGTTGATATTGATGGCACTGGTTGGAGTTGGTACTGCTGGCACGGGAGAGGGGAGGGGGATGGGGGACATTGTCCCGTCGGGAGGCAATCAATGCTCACATCCTGTGAACCCTGCATGTTACACGGGAGAGCACTCCAACACACAGACAGCCCCAGCGCACACAAATACACAGAGAAACAAAGACAGACGAGAGAAAACGAATGTGGACCGGAGTTTGGTACCAGCACAAGAGGAACTCCAAAACAGCTTCATGGGGTAGCTATACAGACCCTGGCCATTCCTAGACACATGATGCAGGGCATCAAGAGGCAAAGAGGGAACCCATACCAGTGATATGTAAGTGCTGCTGAAGTGGTTTATTTATTGAATGGAGTCATTTCATGTTATGACATGCTCCCTTTTAAATCTGCAACACATGCATTCAGGAATGACTCATGCACAATAGTTTTCTCAGAGGGCCAAAATAGTAATTGTAAATGTCATTCGTTATTGTCATTGTGAAAAGAGAAATGGTTCGAAGTGAATTTCTAAAATTCTAATTAAACCAGACTACACCTGGTGTGTTTGATATAGGATAGAAATAGATTTAACGCTTCACAGCTCATATTTATTTATGCTGGTCACTAATGACATATTTGAAAATACCAGAATGACTACAAACTAACTCAAGTGTTATGCATCGTTTTTGGCTTCGAAAAAGATTAACTGGTTTAAACAACAATGCCAAAATAAAAACATCGGCGCTAAGTCGTATTCATTTCTCCTAAGTGTAGACTGAGGTGATGATGTTGGATGGCTTCTGGAGCTAAAGCATGGACTGAAAAAAATCCTGGAGGCTCATTTCTACATTGTCGTGATTGACAATCATGTTTTTCTGTCAGACAACAACCTGATCTTACCTGAATGATATAAATAAGTTGTGTAAAATATATACCTAGGACGTAGACTATTAACGTTTGTTATGTTTGAAAGCATAAGCTTTGCTCAAAACTGTAGTGGTCAGCTGTAATAGAAAATGACTGAGCATAGTTAGAAAATAGATCTATTTATTATTTGATATTTTCAGATTTACATCTTTAATAGGATCTAGTGGCAATGAAAGAGCCATACCCAGATCTCTTCAAGATCTTGGAACTTCGACTTAACCCAAAATAGGGGATCTAACACCAGCAGCCTGATGTCAGCAAGATTGTAAAACAATGATTAAGGTCAGGGAAATTTATTTGGAGCAGACATTCAAACATTCAACCAAAAGTCTCTATTTAAAACATTCACAACAGCTTACCACCCAAACGTCTGGTTCAATGTCCAGAACAGAAGTTATGCATATTTACATTTCCTCTAACATTATTAATGAAGTTACTGCTGCACCAACTTTCAATTTTATCTCCAGGAGAGCCAATCTGGCTAATCTGTCATCATGTTTTCAACCTGTCATCATCATCTGTCTTTCTCGCCTTTTTGGATTCATTGTAAGTTATGTTACCACATTACACTCACTAAACCAAAAAGACAAGATGATCATAAACAGACACCTAATGAGAAACAATTTCATAATATAACATAATAAATAAGTTTCATGCATGCTGTGTCTTCACAGTTTGAGGGTATGTGGCAGTGAAGTGGTGAGAAGCTGACCATGGGTGACTGGAACCTGTTGGGCAGCATCCTAGAAGAGGTCCACATTCATTCCACCATCGTGGGCAAGATATGGCTCACCATACTCTTCATCTTTCGCATGCTGATCCTGGGGGCTGCTGCTGAGGATGTATGGGATGACGAGCAGTCTGAGTTTGTTTGCAACACTGACCAGCCAGGCTGCAAGGCAGTCTGCTACGACCGTGCCTTCCCCATCTCCCTTATTCGCTTCTGGGTCCTGCAGGTCATCTTTGTGTCTGCGCCCTCACTGGTCTACATGGGCCATGCTCTCTACTGCATCAGATCACTGGAGAAGGAACGCCACCGCAGACGAGTTCAGTTGAAGGAGGAGCTGGATGAAGCTGAGTTGGCGTTGGATGACCATAAGCGCATGGAGAGGGAGCTAAGAAAGTTAGACGAACAGAGGAAGGTGAAGAAGGCTCCTCTCAGAGGATCTCTGTTGAGAACCTACATCATCCATATCCTTACACGCTCTGCGGTGGAGGTCTGCTTCATCCTGGGCCAGTATCTACTATATGGTGTCCAACTGGAGCCCCTCTATAAGTGTGAGAGGCTGCCTTGCCCCAACAGTGTAGACTGTTACATCTCCCGGCCCACAGAGAAGACCATTTTCATGGTCTTCATGATCGGCATTGCTGGTGTGTCACTTTTCCTCAACATTCTGGAAATATCTCACCTGGGCATCAGGAAAATCAAACAGGCACTGTATGGAGATAGATACATTGAAGATGACAGTCTGATTTACAAGTCCAAAAAGAAGACATCCTTACCACACCTTTGTGTAATGAGCAATTTATCACCTCACAATGGGCCTTTGACTCAGACGTTCAAAGTGATTCCAGAGGTGGATATGAAGCCTCCTCATTACAGCACTGGGCTCAAAGCCAACCAGGATGCACAAAGACATAACAGCTTGGCTCATCTGGGACACAGTCAGACCAGCTATATCTGCCCCCAACCTAGGATGCCACCCAGATATGGCCAAATCTGTGCAATGCAAGTCCCCCAAACCCATGAACGTCCAGAGGGCCACACAGCCATGGTGGATCACCATTCTCCCTGGGCTTCAGCTGTATCCAATGCAGAGGGAAGTGCAACAAGCCATCTTGCAGACATCCAGGAGGGAGAGCACCCTCACCCAAGCCATTTGGAAGGTCTGCTGTCTGGTAGCACCTTCAGACCCAGCACTATCAGAGACCTTAATGAAGATGAGCGTAGGGAATCATTGAGGAGTGAGGTCCTGATCCCCAACCCCAGAAAGACCAGCTTCATGATCAGACCACCCTCTGAGAGTTTGTCCTCCATCAGTGACTCCATGAGCACTTCCTTACATACTTCAGAGGAGTCGGATGAATTAGGCTCCCTACAGGGAGACATGCCCATGATGCCACCTGCTGGAGGCCGGAGAATGTCAATGGCAAGTAAAGACAAAAGATTATTTTGTGTTATCACTGTTATAAAGTAATTTGCCAAAGTTTCATCTGCCATTGTTTTTTCCTGTTCATCTAGACAAAGCTCGAAAGTAATAAACTAGCATCCAGTGTAGATTTAATATTTTCTCTGTAGAAGAACTGAGATAGTTCTTCTACAGATAGAAGAACTATCTCAGTTCGAGATAGTCGTCAGAGGTTAGCTAAAAGTTTTATTAGGAAAAAAAGGAAAACAGCAACAACAATAAAGAAGAGGCAATGTGTAAAATAAAGGAATTGCATGGAAGTGACGTCACAGAACGGCAGTTGTTTC